ACTACACACACACAGCTAATTCCTCTATGCAATTTTCTCTGGACTTTCATTTTTTGTGTCCAAGTCAATCAGACAGTAAAGGTGTAGAGGAACGGCTGGCATCACCGTTGATACGGTAATGAGGAGTGACGGGGGAGATGATGCCAGCAGGTGAGGCTGATGGAGAATAATGGGCCTTAATGAGGAAAAGAGCCTGTTTCCCTCCTCACGTACACACACGCACAGGAAGCACTTTCTCTCAACTTAATCACTTAACTTGTGCTTAATTAAAAATTATATTTAACAAAAAAAAAAATCACTGTACAAAAACACGTTTAGCACTTTGGCTAATTAAAACTTTTGGTACACATTAATTGCACTTTCAGCCTTGAAAAAAATGGAGATATTAAATAATACTGAAAACTATTTATTGGATTTTGTTATATATATTTGTAAAATTGCATTGTAACATTAATTGCATATTTATATATATATATATATAGAGAGAGAGAGAGAGAGAGAGTACAAGTTAATTGCATATATATTTCTGTATGTATATAGCTATTACATTTTCTTTTTAGATTATTTTAGATTTTTTTTATATTATACATTAACATTGCTGGAATATGAAACACCAAGTTTGTTTTATTTATTATTAAAGCAATATTTAGCACCTTTTTACAGCTCTGTATGTTGAAATGATAAGATGTTTATAAGCCTGAAAAGCTATAATTAATGAATATATAATCTAATATAATATTAATAATAATATCTCTGTGTATATATAATATTTTTCGTTTTATGTTATTTCATTTTTATTACGTTTACATTGCTGGAATATGTTATAAAGTAAATAAGAACAATTGCATTTTTTTTTATTAAAGTATTTTTCAGCACCTTTTTTTAACAGCTCTGCTGAGAAATCCTAATGTGCTAAAACATAAAAATGTGCTAAAAAGTGTCCTTCTAATCCTATTGGGATTTCACATCACACTCTTAAAGAAAATTCTCACTTACTATTTCTCAGATATATAGCTTGGAAATTAACATCAAATTAAGTTTGAGTGGTGTGTGAGTGTGAGAGAGCGAGAGCGCATAACTGCTGGGGGTCCATTCTTTTATTGCCAATCAGGCATCTCTAATCTAAAGCATGCGTAATGTGTTCTTAACACTGTTAGCCTGATTAATGTCTGATAATAACCTGCTCTGAATGACATTCCACTCCGCCTTCATCTGTCTAATCTAATCTGCTCTAATGCTATTAGCACTATTAGATTTTTCTCACACGCACTTATTTATTGTTTGTGCTCATAAAATATCAGTTCAGAGAGTGGCAGGGCATCGCTAATCTGTCCAGTGTCAACTTCCATTACGACAGCCCGGCCGTAGTGGTGAGGTACAACCCTTTGAGCCTGTCACTGTATATGGGTGTGTGTGGTGCTATAGGATTCTTTGTTCTCTGCAGACTTCTCTTTTGTCTGGGACCAGGGATTTATTTTTGACTCACCTAAACCGTGTGTGTCAGATGTTAAGATGTTGTGATGTATAATTCAAAGGTTCTTTGTAGAATGAGATAGGAAAAAGTCTCATCTCTCTATCAGCTTTCAGTCTGTAAAATTACTCTTCTCTAAAGATGACTTATGTTCCTAAAATCTGTTTAGTCCTTTTGCCTAGCCTTTGGCTTGATTTTTTTAAAATAAATGTTTGGTTTAATGCAGAAATTAATTTCAGACTATTTTGTAGATGTACACGGGCATGAGGAATGACAAATTACGGTTTATAACTCGTATTTAATGCCCTATCTATCTATCTATCTACAGTATATGTCTGTCTGTCTATCTATCTATCTATCTAACACATATCTATCTATCTATACATTTCTAATTCTGTGGCTAATTACAAATTTGTTTGTAACTGAATATGTATTTTTATATTTTCATATAATTTCAACAGAAATGTATAATTTCTGTTTATAATCAAGATATATTTCATTGTTTTTTTTTTATAAAACATGCTTTATAATTTCACATTTCTATTTACAATGACGGTGTATGTTTTCAAAGTTTATTCTAATTGATTGTTTTTATTTTTAAAATGTATACTCTAATACGACTTCATATTTTTATAATGTGTATATATAAGAATATATATTTTTTAACTTAGAATTGTAATAAATGTGAAAGACAAAGTTTAAAGTTGCCATGAAATTAAAATTTACTATTTATTTATTTTGGAATATTGCAGTCATTATCATAAATGATAATGACTGATAATGATAAATATCCATGCACAGCATCATTAAAAAAAAAACCTGCCTAATTTGCTTGCAACAGCCAATTTCTATGATCCAATCAATTCCTTATGGACAAAATAAAGTCCTGCCTATTTTTCATTCAATAAGCTGCTTCACTTATATGATATATACGTCAAAATATTGAAGGAACATTGATCACAATTTCTGTTTCATGTGACATAAACGCTCCATTGATGCTGCATTTCATGTACACAGAACCAAAGTAGCATCAGACCCGCCGCCTCTGGGTTGTACTACATTTATGAAACATTGCACATTTATGCAGAATTTGGAGGCACTCATAGCAGCATTAGCTCTGCCGTCTGAAGACACAGCTCACAACCGTTTCTGCACTGTGTTTGTAGGAGGTGTGCCACTGCCTGGACACTCTAGGATCTCGTGCACAGTGTTTTGATGTGATACAGAACGCCATCATTAAGAATCTGGTGAGTGAATGTGTGTTTATCTGCTGAATGTTTTGCATAAGAGTGGGCAGTGGAGCCAGACACTGTTTGCGGTGACACTCTCGTCATCTCTTTGTAGTGTGGACTCGTGGTGGTGCCAGACTGTGTTTGTGCAGCGATTTTAAGGTGTGTTCCCCGGTTACTGGATGTCAACTTCCTGCCCAGCGACACACTCCTCCACTTCCTGTCTGACTGTTGCTTGAGCATGCTCAGTCTGCTGCTACAACTGGAGCAGAGCGCCCGCAAGAGGTGTGCTCACAAACACACACACCTACACACTCACAAATATTTGCATAGAGTAACATTTATACACCACAAAGCGTACACAAAGAAAGACTGCGTGATAATACAGCAAAGAGAATTTAGAAACAAGACTGGGGAAAGTCCAAAAAGGGCATTCTCATGAAGAAAGCAAATGAAAGAATTTCATAATAAAGTGAATAGTTCTGATGCACCTAGAATTCCTAAAAAATAAAGATTGTGTCAGGAAACTATTCATTCAGCAAAATTATTAGTTTTTTTTTTCTTCAACATTTCTCAATACTTAGGCCACTTTTTCAAAATTCTTGACACAATTTTCTTTACTGACTTTCAGCTTGGCACAGCAGTAAATTTCACACCAAAAATGCACAAAAACTACCAAAACATTTCACACATGATTCAAATGAAGTAATTCTTCCATGACACTAGCAAACACACTGCCACCCAGAAAACACGGACCTAAAAACAATAACATGCAATGTTTTCTCCTGTAAAATTACTTTACAAAACAAGAAATGACGTCTCTACTGTTTAGAATTCACTTCAGTATACGTTACCTGGTCCATGTTTACATTCCAGTACAAAATTAAGTTTCTCCTTTTGTGTAGATAGTAATGAAATTGAAAGACTAACATGTAGTTGTTCAGCTAACTCTAACTGTTCTAACGGGAAAGTATTACATTTTTTAGATTTGAAATACATTCCGTTATATATATGTATATTCCAATACGATATTGCTGTAGAAATGTAGCGAATTGCTGTCTTATACAGTTTAAAGTTCCCCTGAAATGCTTAGAAACACACAGCTTTACTCTGTGTTGACGTCATTTTAACTGAAACAGGAAGACAGGGCGGGACATATCAAGCAGCCCCGCCCCTTTTTAAAATAGCCAGTAGCCTTCGTTTATTTCACAGCTTGGGCTAGAGCCGTTGAGCTCCGTAAAGCCGCATTTGACAGGGTATGCCAGCCACAATCTCATCCATATTGCTGTAAAATATAGCATTCTGTGTAGAATTCAAATAGCTCCGATACATTTTGTGGTCTGCGCCGACTGCGCATGTGATCCGCTCCATGCTATCGTGTCTCTGGACCGGAGCAGAGTGTGTGTGCGGTGCGGTGGTTAGCGTGACACAGCGCGAAACCAGACTTCTTTTTTTCCTCAATGGAAAGCATATTTACACTGTTTGAATCGTTCCCTGTCCCCTATATAGTGCACTACGTGCCATTCACTGTACAGAAAATACTAATTCTGTGGACAAGTGACCGATTTCAGTCGCGGCTTCAGCGTCTATTTTATAGTGTAGGGGGCGGGCGCTTCGGATTCTAGAGAGCATTTGATTGGACAGAAAGTTTGATGAGAAGCTGAAGTACGATGTGACGTCAAAAAAATCGTTGAGCCGTTTTGGCGGAAGTGACGAACTGCAAGCTTTGAATGCTTATATCTTCTAAATGCAAATGTTGTCACTGTTTTGGAGCACACTGCCTTATAGATAACTTTAAGACTAACATATTGATACTAACACCCAAAAAAACTTTAATTTTGATTTCATGGGGACTTTAATGTTTGAACTTAAGTGTCACAGTTTTTAAAAAGAATATGTAAATATGTGCAGATCGGCCTGTTGGTACATAGAGGTTTGTCTGGGTTGTGTATGTTGAATATGAAAAGAATTCATGTAATTTGAAAGATGTAATCACTGAATGTATTTAGTGCAAAAGCAATGGAAAATGATCCACAGTTGTGCTCACTTTGTGAAGAGTTTTGAAAAAGTGATCAAAGAATTGAGAAATGGCGAAAAGTCTATTTTTTGTTTCTGTAATATATGAGAAGTGTGTTAATTACAATTATTTAAAATAATATATTTATGTAATTAACAATAATTATTAGTGGTGTCAAACCATTAATCGCGATTAATCGCATCCAAAATAAAAGTTTTTGTTTACATAATATATGAGTGTGTACTGTGTATATTTATTATGTATATATAAATACAAACACATGCATGTATATATTTAAGAAAAATGTTATGTTTATATTAAATATATTTATATATAATATAAAATATAAATATATAAACGTACATGTAAATATTTTCAAAATATATACTGAATGTGAGTGTATTTATATATACATAATAAACAAACACAGTACACATACATATATTGTGTAAACAAAAACGTTTATTTTGGATGCGCGGATTAATCGCGATTAATCGTTTGACAGCACTAATAATAATGATAAAATATCATTTATTAATCAACATTTTTAATGTTGGTAATTTTACCACCTTATTTCACATAGCATAGCACATAATCTTAGTTACAAACTGGGCTTGTGGTTAAAGAAATAGGTGATCCATGATCTAGGGTTGTCCGAACAATAAATGTAGTTGTCAAAACTTAGGTTTGTCTGTCTCACCATCAGGGATGCCGTGTGGGAGGCATGCTTTGCCGCGCTGAGCACGGTACCGAGGCTGCTGCGATTGGTCTTGCAGTCTTTACATGTGGGTGACCTTTGTGAGGAGGAGCTCCCCGTGTTGGCACAGATCTTGTCACTACTTCTTCAGCATACTCAATTACGCAACCACATGATGGCCAACGCCAGTCTACTGCAACATATCATACAGGACTTAACGGTAAAAACACACATACGGCTCCATTTCAGCTTTGCTTTAACAGATGAAACTGGCATTATGTTTACCTTACCTTAAAACTATTATGTCTCTTGGAATTGAGCTCCCGATACTGTTTTGACTGTTGTGCTTGTGATTTACAGCATTTCTATGGTGGAGAGACTCGAGAGCAGTGGCTGACTGACCTGTTGTACTGCTACAGTGTCACGCTGTCTGGTCACCGGGCCAACATGGGCATGAGGGACATCTATTAATCACTGACCATTATTGTGTTCATTGCTACCCTATTTTTTTTTGTTCTTTCTTTTTTCTGAGTCCAGTTATTTTGTACAAAATGAAGAAAATAAACCTTGTGATAATGAGTTTATTAGGCTCTTTCATTGTTCGCTTTTTAAATTTTTTTTACAAAAACATTTATTAATAAAGATCTGGAGAGGGATTTTTTGTAATAACCATCGTTTTTGTCTGGTAATCAACAGAAATGTAGGTGGTGTGAAATAATGTGGCATTTACTCAAAGCAACTGGAACAGACATCTGCTGTTTTAAAGTTTCTGAAAAAAATCGGTTACAGGGTTGTTGTTTTTAACACTACTGTATAAAAGTTTGGGACCAGTAAGATTCTTTTAATGAAATTAATACTTTTATTCAGCAAGGATGCAGTAAATTGATCAACAGTGACAGTAACGACATTTGTAATTATAAAAAAAATTATATTTCAAATAGTTTGTTCTTTGAACTTTCTATGTGTGACCCTGGAGCACAAAACCAGTCATAAGTTGCATGGGTATATTTGTAGCAATAGCCTAAAATACGTTGTATGGGACAAAATTATAGATTTTTCTTTTATGCCAAAAATCATTAGGATATTAAGTAAAGATCATGTTCCATGAAGATATTTTGTAAATTTCCTACTGTAAATATATTAAAACTTAATTTTTGATTAGTAATATGCATTGCTAAGAACTTCATTTGGACAACTTTAAAGGCGATTTTCTCAATATTTTTTTTTTGCTCCCTCAAGATTCCAGATTTTCAAATAGTTGCATCTCTGCCAAATATTGTCCTATCCTAACAAATTATACATCAATGAAAAGCTTATTTATTCAACTTTTATATGTATAAATCTCAATTTCAAAAAATGTACGCTTATGACTGGTTTTGTGGTCCAGGGTCACATTTATCAAAGAATCCCAAAAATATGTATTACAGTTTCCATTGATGATAGTAAGAAATGTTTCTTGAGCACCAGATCTGCATATTAGAATGATTTCTGAAGATCATGTAACACTGAATGACAATTTAGCTTTGCAATTACAGGAACATTTACATTTTAAAACGCATTCCAATATAAAGTTATTTTAAATTGTAATACTATTTACTGTTTTTACTGTACTTTTGTTCAAATGCAGCCTTTGTGAGAATAAGAGTTTCAAAAACAAATTATATCTTACCGACCCCAATCTTTTAAATGTTAGTGTATGTTTCACCAGTTTAAAAAATGATTACTCTTTCAGAATAGAAGACAAAGTCTGTGCAGTAACGTGACCTGCAAGATTGGCAGCAAAATCTTTCCTTTTTAACATACAAACACTGCTATCTTCACTTTTACAAAACAATATATTTCAAAATAATACATTAATAATAAAAAGTGTACACTGATTTATAGTGATAGATAAAAAATGTGTAATCCAACCCACTCAGTAAACGGGTGTGGCGATAGAGTATAAGAATAGAATGTCAAGATCTGCGACAATATCAGAAATAGGCTGAAAACTGCCTTGTGACGTCTTGACTGTAGCGTATTAACACAGTGGTCTCCCATGCAGGTGGTCTTGTTATGTAAGTCCCTTATGACAGGTATATGACCTGTTGTTGACAGAATGAAAGTTTATCTAATACATTTGTTGTGTTTGTGGTTTTAACCTCTAACCTCTGCAAAAAGTAAGGTGATACTGCAGATTTAATATGTAAACTTAATGATACGGACCAAGAGTTGACTGTACCTTATGCAATAGTTTAAATAAACAGCAAATGAATTTAAGTGCATCACCCCAAATATTTAATTCCTAGAAATCCAAGCATGTTTGTGTCTCAGTTCTGTTCTGACCGCTTTGACTGCCAGCACTGGACGGCCGTAGATGGTAAGAGTATTGCTTCGCCTGACTTAAAGAATCCACCAGGCTCACACACTCGACGGCGCTCACTAAGGATAAAACACACACACACGCACTCATAAGATGTAACATGCAACACAAAAGAACACAAGCAGTGATTATAAACTCAAGTACTCACACTGTTTGTTTGTTTTAAGTGACAGATCCAACAGCGCTTGACTTTGGCTCTGCGGTTTAAGCACTGCGGCCCGCAAAGACTGCCCTCTTTTGGAAGGGGCGCCGCCTTGACCAAAAAAACAGCAGTTTATTGATTTGGACGTAGTCACATGCACATTTTTTACTTGAATGGATCAATATCTCTGTGTTAACGTCACAGCTGATACTAGAGTTGTTAAAATAACAAGATTCAGACGTGCAGGTGTGTGTGAGCGCGCGTCCATCTGGCAGGGGTGTGGACAGGGTGAGGGGAGCGAGGTCGGCGTGTGTGAGCGAGAGGAGACAGCTCGACATTCCATCTGACAGCAATGAACTTTTCAAACTGTCGGGACTGTCAGGGAGGAGCGGGGAGGGGAACAAGTGTCCATGTGTGTACGTGTACATGTGCGTCTGAGAACGAGAGTGTCTCTGGCCTGCTCAGCCATCATCACCTGTTCATGTCTGTTGAAGGTCAGTCGCGTTAACTGGGCCGAAACTCCACCATATCAAATGATATGAAAGAGGGAGGGGTGACGGTGTGTGTCTGTGGTGGAACGTCACATAAAAACATAACACCCCTCTGTAATAATCTTATTAGTGATGCTTGTCCTACTTTGTATCTGGCTGCTTATGCTACTGACACGAATCAAAAACTTAGATCATGTGGATAGATAAGGAAAGGTATCCTATAACTTTTATAAGCGATCAGACATATGATTTAGTTATAATAAATTAATATTTTTTGCATCAGATATTTGAAAAAATATCTAAAATATACAATACTGTTCAAAAGTTTGGGATTGGTAAAATTAGATTGTTAGATTAATGTTTTTGAAAGAAGTCTATTATGTTCACCAAGGCTGCATTTATTTGATTAAAAATACCATAAAAAAAGTAATATTTTGAACTATTACAATGTAAAATAACCATTTTAATTTTTAACAGTTGTGCTGCTTCATATTTTTCTGGAAAATTTCTTTAAACTAGAAATGCTTTGTAACTGTATAAATGCATTGCCTGCCATGTTTGAACCATTTTACACATCCTTGTTGAATGAAGGTATTACTGAAACTATTTTACTGACCCCAAACTTAAAAAAAAAAATATATATATATATAGTAGTCAACATTTGAAGTGGATCAAAAAAAAGTTAATCAAAGTTGTCCTAGACAAGAGGTTTTTTAGGACAACTTTGATTAAATGTTTCGATCCACTTCAGATGTTGACTACTGTGTATATATATTATATATATATATATATATATATATATTAAGATATAATACATATTCTTAGTATAGTATATACATTCCTAGACAGTTCCAGAAATACATCACTCACCATATATATTTTGCAGCACAGAACTCTTTTTCCCTACATTCCTGGTGGGAGGAGCTTGAACGTCAGAAGTTTTATGGTGGGTGTGGTCATTAGAGATAGGCCACTCCCACACCAGTTGAATCAACAGGCCTGTGACTTCAGCAGACTCCGCCCCTTTCCCAGTCTTGCACAGTACCTTACGAAGACGACCCCGAATACAAGACCTGAATGGAAAAACAAATGTTACTCTTTCATGCGCACCAACAAAAGTAGCAACAGCATATTAAACATATCAAACAAGCAAACCACATTTATGTGTACACAAAGAAGCACTTCAAGAATGTGCATATACCTTATTATTTGTGCTATGAATCCCATTATTTTAGTAAAGCCATTAAAAGAAAGTGCTTTCATGGGCCTCCATTACACTCCCTACACACACACACAAATAAATAAGAGGCCTATTCTGGTGACCTGCCCTCGGAGGTGTTGATGTGCTGGTGGGCAAAAAAAGCCATGCAACAACTCAAATAAGGAACATGTGGGCAACATATGAGCAGACACTGATGGAATCTGCAGACTTTTCTTGCATTTTCTGTTCTAATTTGGAGGAAAAATGGATTTAAAAGGTAAATGTGTTATTATAAATGGTGGAAAATCTGCCATCATTTATTGTCCATTTATTCTTAAATAAATAAATTTGAATAAATTTTTTGGAATGTAAAATGAATGAAGCCTCAGAGTGATATGAGAGACAGAAGTGAAATTTATATGTACTCAAGTAATCTAATTGATGGCTCAATTGGACTGAAAAGCCTTCATGTAAACACCTTAATCGATCAGGGGTGCGTTTCTCAAAAGCATCGTTAGCTAACTATGGTCGTTAGTTCCACTGAACTCTATTGGTAATGACGTAACTTGCGATCATAGTTGCTTTTGGGAAACGCACCCCAGATTGAGCTTGATCTGAATGAAATTTAGATTTAAAGGAGTAAATTGAATTGGACTGGATTCATTCTAGAGCAGGTTTAGCTAGTTTAGTGTAGTTTAACCATCATTAAACAAAATATTTGATTGCAGAATGCTGTGATTGGCCAATCAGAATCAAGCATCTCTTGATGTAGAGAAATCCAACAGTTGGATTCCTGAAGTGAAAAATTCATTCATTTTCTCCATAGGGAAACTAGTTTTTAACAATAACTTAACTGTTTTGAGCTCCGAGGTTGTTACTCAATGGGCTTTTTAAATACCTGAAACCAATGCTGCTAAAAAAAATGGGCAGGCAGTAATGAATTCTACAGTGGAAGGAAAAAAAGAGAGACACCAGTACCTCCTCCATGCTCTCTGTATCACAATGGCCGCCTGGTTTTTGCTATGGATGCTGCCTCTCTTCTTTTCTTTCTCTTTGTCAACTTGTTTTTTTCTTGTTCTGTCCATCCATCTCTCTTTATCTCTTTCCTTCCCTGTATATTTCTGTTTCTCTCTGCCAGCCTCTTTATCCCCCTCACTCCTTGATCTGTTATCCTTATCTCTGTGCATCTCTCTTTCTGCCCGTCTCTCTTTTTGTCGTGTGACAGAGGTGGAGTTGGAGATGTTTGATGGCTGAGTTCCTGTAGATTTATGCTGTGAAGCTGGCTTGTTCCCTTTGGACGCTGATCTACAAATGCTGTCTGTCTGTATCTCTGTGGATCGTGGTGTAGCCACTTGTTTTGAGTGGGTCCCTGTAGTACTTGGTCTGTTATGTATTGCTGATTTGGGTGTTGTGGTGGTTTCCATGTGGCCTGGTGTTACATGGGCCCCTGCGTTGACTGGTTTGGCACTGCCTGGTCGACTGGACCCAGCGGGGGATCGGCGCTCATATGTGGACCCACATTCCACAGATATGGATGTGTCTGGACCGCAAGTTTCCGTCACACACAACTCCTCTACAGTGCCTGAACATTTCCTGGTCCTCCGGGGGGTCACTGTGAGACCAGAGGCTGCTGGGGGGAGAGAAGCCTCTGGTGTTTCAGCTTCTCTCGTTCTGCGCTCTGATGGAGAAACAAAATAATTGGTTAGAGAAGTGCGTTAACACTAAGTGGCAGGACAGTGGCATGAAAGAAAGTGCTAGGGGATCTGTGGACAAGTATAAAAAAAATTAAAAATAAAAAACTAAATAAAAAGATATACAAAAAGATAAAAATGTGAATAATGAACAATGTGAACAATAAAGGAATAATAAAAACTGATTTAAATAGATAAAATGTACATCTAATAGTAAAGTACTATAATGAGTAAAAATACTTTTAAATTAATACATTACACATTTATAATACATTTATTACAAATATTTTAAATGTACAGTATAAATTGGGTCTTTATTTATAAAAATATATAGTTCCCTTTTAAATTTTAGGATGGAGATGGCCATATTTTGGGCTTTGTTGCATCCAAAAGATGATGTAACATCTAAAATATAATAACACTGTTAATTGCAATCTTTAGCAACCTCAAAATTCATATCCATTTTTCATACTGTACATTCATACATACATAGCCTAAATTCACTTTGTGATGCATTTTGATTGATTGTAGTTTTTTGTGTTTTATTTGAAAAAAAAAAAGTATAAAAAATAATTACGAATTTTATAACATTACATAATTTTTATTTTTTGACCATTTATAGGCCATAAGGTGAAAATAATTATTGATAATAAGAAATAATAATAATTTAAACTAGTGACAAATGAATGTGCACTGAAGTGTAACACCATGTCATTTATTCCTTACTTTCTAGTTCATAAACTCACCAGTTCTATGTTTTTTCTCTCTCCTGCTCTGTGATTGGACGTTATGAGCGCTGGGGGACTTTTTGTGTTTGTGTCCTTTCGCCACCACTGGATCTTTAACACTCTGCTCTGTTTCATCCAGTGACAGTTTTTCTACTCTAGCTGCAGCCAATGAGACGAGCTGCTTCTGATCTGCCTCAGCCAATGAGAGCTGCTGCTCCACCTCACGTCTGCGCTCCTCTTCCCTCTTCCTAAAGAAGCAAAAAACACACACAACACACATTCATTTACTTCACACATACTTTTATCCTGTTAATGATAACTGTCCTGGATCATTTATTTAATCTTTCAGTTGACGCCACGTAAAGTATCTTCTTATGGTTGCCATAGCGAATATTCAGATACACTAGTTTTCAAAGGTTTGGGATCAGTAAGATTTTTAAAGAAATGAATACTTTTATTCATCAAGGACACAGTAAGTACATTTATAATGTTAAGATTGTTAAAGATTTCTATTTCAAATAAATGCTGTTCTTTTGAACTCTCTATTCATCACAGGATCCTGAAAAATGTATCATGGTTTCCACAAAAATATGAAGCAGCACAAATATGTTCAACATTCATAATAATAAGAAATGTTTCTTGAGCACCAAATCAGCATATTAGAACGATTTCAGAAGGATGCTGTGACACTGAAGACTGGAGTAATGGCTGCTTAAAATTCAGCTTTACCATAACAGGAATTATATAAAGTACTTTCAAATCAAAAACGGTTATTTTAATTTGAGTAATATTTCACAATATTCAAGTTTTTACTGTATTTTTGATTAAACAAAGCCTTGGTGAAGAGAAGAGACTTAAACAAAAAAGTTTTTAATGCTAATAAACGTACAACCCATTTTCGTTAGGTTCATTTAAGGTTTTTAGAGTCAGCTAAATAATTAATCTTTCATCTTTTTGTTCTTACTATTGGTTGGTACAATAATTTCAGGTCAATATCTGAGTTCACCAGGGCAGCATTTGTGAAAGTACACTTGATAAACATCCCTCCATGTTTTGAGCAGCTAGCAGGAAACAAAAAAAGAAAGAGTAGACGGATAGATTGCGGGCAGAATAACACTGATAAAAAGACAGAAGGTTAGAGTGACGGACTATGCAAACAAGTTTAACGGCAATGAAATGAATGTATGTTTACGTGTTTAAGCAGACCCTGGAAAAGAGAGAACATATTCTAAGCTGCGCATGTGTGTATTCATTCATCCTCAGAGCTGACAGACTCTAAATGTCAAGCTGTTGAGCAGCTGAACGTTGCCCAATTAACAGAAAAGGAGGGAGGATGAGTGAATCTCTCTAGCTCTTTCTCTCTCTCTCTCTATCATCTCATCTATTTCCATTATTGACAGCAAGAAATTGATGCTCATATTCCTCAGCAGGCAGGTAGATAGATGAGCTGCTTCTGAGCAAACACACATAATTAAACAACAAGTATTATATTCATGCAAACATTCCGTGTCAGCTCTGCAGATCAGCCTAGCCACATCAATCAGCACTGGATTGTGGGTAAGAGAATATTTGCACCCCACCATTTATCTTATCTCTTTCTCTTCAAGGCAGAACGTGTGGGTTTACGTGAGTCTTACTTTGCAGCATCCTTGCGTAGTTGTTCGTGCCTCATGAGGAGCTTCTTGCGTTCTCTGAAGGCCCGTCGGACCTTGTAGCCCTTGTAAAGAGCCTGGATGGACGAGGCGGCGATGTCTTGGATGGCAGCGATGGACAGAGCTCCATGCTCCAATAGAAACTGGGTCAGTTCTTGATGCTCTCCCAGCAGGGCATAGTCTAGAGGAGTGTACCTAAACACAATGATTATAGTCAGAACCCATTTAACAGAGGTTTTTTAATGTTTTGATGCTAAGGTCCCCAAATTTTAGATAATTTATACATAAAATGTTTTATTCAAAAATTTTAAGATTTTTTGTTTTTGAAAGAAGTCTCTTATGCTCACCAAGATTGCATTTACTTACAGTAAAATATTACCACAGTTGTGAAATAACAGTTTTCTATTTTAATATATTTTAAAGTGTAATTTATTCCTGTGATGGCAAAGCTGAACTTTTTAGCAGCCATTATTTCAATTTTCAGTGTCACATGATCCTTCAGAAATAATTCCAATAGGCTCATTTGGTGCTCAAGAAACATTCATCATCATCAATGTTAAAAACAGTCAAGCTGCTTAATATTTTTGTAAAAACTGTAAGTTTTTCCAGGATGCTTTGATGAAACAGAAATCTTTTGTAACAATTTTGTTAAATGTCTTTAATGTTTACTTAATATACATACATATAATATACATACATACGACACTTAAAATGTGATTTAATTATTAAAATTTTGAATGAAATTTATATTCAAACCTGCAGTCAGATCCATAACCACTAGGCCACATCTCAAGAACCATGCACATGCATGAATGTTTGTTACCTCTCCTCAGTGTGCTCCATATGGTTGGGAAAGGCCCCACATCCCAGAAGCAGCTTCACAGCATCCAGATAACCGTTATTACAGGACCAATGAAGTGCGGTTCTCCCCTTAACAAATAAACATACACAAAGTCGCGTCTCAAGCTATTCTTCAGTCTTTCTCTTTTTCATATAGCCTATCTAGCAGGCCAGTGCATGTTCTCAGTGTTAGCTTTGGATCCAGAACAATCCTACCTCCTTGTCCTGAATATTGGGGTCTGCATCATGCTGAATGAGCAAGGCCATGCAGTTGATGTAGCCAGAATATGCCGCACACTGGAGGGGAGTCCGTCCTGCGTGGTCCTGCAGGTTAGGACTGATCCCGTTCTCCATTAGCACCTCGCACACCTCCGCATTACCGCCCAGAGCCGCCCAATGCAGAGCAGAGTGACCGTCTATGTCTACCAGATCAACACGTGCCCCTCCTAAACGTATAAAAGATGCAGATTTAACATGAGCACTCTTTGAACTGTTGTACTTGAAACAAGAGTTCTCTACTGACACTTTTCCACCAACATAGTGCCACAACAAACTTGCAAACAAGTCAGTCATGCTCTAGTGATGCTTAAAGGGTTAGTTCACCCAAAAATTAAAATTAGCCCATGTTTTACTCACCCTCAAGGCATCCTAGGTGTATGTGACTTTCTTCTTTCAGACGAATTCAATTGGAGTTATATTAAAATTTATCCTTGCTCTTCCAAGCGTTAGAATGGCAGTAGGCAGTTATTTTTTTCAACAGAAAAGAAGTCTCCAAAGAGAAGTCCAATAAAGCGCATCCATCCATAATAAAACGTGCCTCACACGGCTCCGGGGGGTGAATAAAGGCCTCCTGTAGTGAATCGATGCGTTTTTTAAGAAAAATATCCATATTTAAAACGTTATAAACACCTCTCTCTCACTTCCGCTAACTGCCATATGTGCAAGCCATTCCGCCGGATGACGTAGGACATATGCGTCGCACATGTGCCTGTGAGATATGCTAGTGTCGCGAGTTTGTTTACAGGAGCAAAGGAAGCAAAGTTTCCTTACTTTACCAAAGGAAAACCAATCTCCTCTTAGCTTATATCAAAATCCTCCAACATTTTTCTTTACAAATCCTTGTTTTGTGCTTCTAATTCATGACCTGCACTTTGTTTTGCTGTCTCTGCTCCGCACTTCCTCGTTCGTCACTAATCACCGGCACATGTGCGACGCGTACGTCCTACGTCATTCGCCTGGAACGGCTTCCGCCTACAACAGCTTAGAGGAAGTGAGAGAAAAGTGTTTATAACGTTTTAAATATGGATATTTTCTTACAAAAACGCATCGATTCGCTACAGGAGGCCTTTATTCACCCCCCAGAGCTGTGTGATGTGCGTTTTATCATGGATGGATGCGCTTTATTTGACTTCTTTTGGACTGTTGAAAAAAACACCTGCTTAGTGCCTATTGCCATTCTAACGCTTGGAAGAGCAAGGATATTTTTAATATAACTCTAATTGGATTCATCTGAAAGAAGAAAGTCATATACACCTAGGACTTTTAACCTAGGTGTATATGACTAGGACCTTTAACAAAACTAGGTTACTCCAATTATGATAAACAAAGTGGCCTAGAAATAAATGCAATGCTGGCTCTAACTACTTTTTTTCCCAAATATGCATAAAAGAAAATAGTTTTAACCCTTAAATGCATGAATGTTTCGCCAATCATTATTACATATTCGGGTCTTTAGCGACCCGGACCTAAATATCCAGCATGGATGGACCTCTAACTGCTGCAATAGCAAAAAATTATCTTGATATTTTAAGAACAATTACAGAAGAATAAAATAAAGCATATTTCGTTTCCTTTTGAAACTTAAAAGGGTTCAATTTGAGCAGATGATTTTACCATCGCTGTCATCGTCAGAGCGCACTTCCACGCATCTGCCTCACATTCACGATCTCAACCATATTCTCAAAACTATCGTTTTCAATGACTTCATATTCAATATTTTGATCACTGGCAGCTTATTCACCACATCCAGCATCAAATGGCAGTGACATTTATATTTCATTGCGTATAGTAATTGCTCTGCAGTAAAGCCATTCAAACCAGTTACATTTTTTATTTGTATAATTATATAATTAACTAATTTGATATTAGTTTGTTTTATGCCTGCGGTAATTATGAGTGAAACATCACGTCATCATTGTGTATCAGTGCCACCTTGAGAAAAAAAGATGCATTGCACAAATTGAGTCATCAGATATGTAAATATAGTCGCGCAGGAAAAAATACTTACACATTTACATACCTCGGGTCTGTAGCGACCCTATACACTTTCTACAAAAAATTAATCAGAAAACAGGCATTCTTTTGTATTTTACTATTTTTTTCTTGTTTATAATGAATAGATTGAGGAATACTAAGAAAGTTGATGTCTAACTTTAAAAAATGAAGGAGGGAGAGGGTAGAGAATGATGTCCTGGGTCGCTAAAGACCCAAGGTATGCATTTAAGGGTTAACTACAAAAAAAAACATGTTTGTGAATTTATTGCTATGAATTTTGTATTTAAATAACTTATGACCATTGCACCAAGGAAAGGACGCGACTAGGGCTGTGTATCGGCAAGAATCTGGCGATACGTTACGTATTACGATATAGGGGTTGCGATACGATATGTTGCGATATATTGCGATACTGTAAGCAAGATGATATATTGGGATATTTCTTATTTTAGGAATAGGAGAATAGGATATAATTTTAGGAAAACTGTCATTTAGAACACACCACCATATGCAAACCTTAGCAAAAAAAAAATCAATTTACATGCATATACATACATATATAATATATTTTTTTTTAACCAGAACACAGTGGAATCTGCATTTGCATTCATCTGTCCCTGTAACATTCAACGCTATTGAACCACTTTTTGTGCAGTACGAGTAAAGGGGGATCTGCATTTGCATTAATCTGTCCCTGTAACATTCAATGCTATTGAACCACTTTTTGTGCAGTACGAATAAAGGGGGAACAATTAAGTGCTTGCAGGAGTCAGATTTGACTGATCATGGGTCGAGAGTACGGATGACCTACAAGACCATGGTGGAGGATTTGCTACTCAACGGATCCAGAGCTCCCTGATACGCGAAAATTATATGCAATATTAGAATGTTTGCGGGAGAGGGCGGGACTGGACAAACCTTGCAGGAGCGGAACACACATTGTCACTGTTTAAGTTAAGAGGTAAGAAGACTGCTATCTAGCAGTCGGGATATAAACTCAAAACGAAACAACGTGAATCATAAATCTTGTATACATTTTTTTTTTTTTAAATATCATTCAAATATATATAAATAAATATATATTTAAATATAACAAATATTGCATTTTTGAGAAACGATACAGTATCACCAAACAAAATATCGCGATGTGGCCAAGTATGGAATTTGTATTCCAAGTCCCATACTTGGAATTTGTGCTCTGCATTTAACCCATTTAACACAGCAGTGAGTAGTGAACAAACACACACCGTGAACACACACCCGGAGCAGTGGGCAGCCATATGCTGCGCTGCCCGGGGAGTTGGGGGTTCGGTGCCTTGCTCAAGGGTCTCACCTCAGTCATGGTATTGAAGGTAGAGAGAGCGCTGGATATTCACTCCCCCCACCTACAATTCCTGCCGGACCTGAGACTCGAACCCATGACCTTCAGGTTACAAGTCCGACTCTCTATCCATTAGGCCACGACTGCCCCCTAAACAAATTCCCTTGCACTATATTCATTTACTGCTTGTTTTCTTTATAAAAAAAAAACTAACACTAGCTTTTCTAATCTTTTTGCATTCTATCTGTTTTCTTTTTATTTATTATACAATTATCAAAAGCAAAAAAAGGCCTCTAACACAAGCTTGCTCTATTCTTTTTCTATTCTATCTGTTTTCCTTTTTATTTATTATATAATAAAAAAAAAAACTTGCTACGTGTACTGCATTAAGCTAACTGAGACTTGTTATAGCACTTGCGTAACATTGCTCTTTTGTTGATTTTGACTTCTTCCATTGTCATCATTTGTAAGTCGCTTTGGATAAAAGTGGTATTGAAGGTAGAGAGAGCGCTGGATATTCACTCCCCCCACCTACAATTCCTGCCGGACCTGAGACTCGAACCCATGACCTTCAGGTTACAAGTCCGACTCTCTATCCATTAGGCCACGACTGCCCCCTAAACAAATTCCCTTGCACTATATTCATTTACTGCTTGTTTTCTTTATAAAAAAAAAACTAACACTAGCTTTTCTAATCTTTTTGCATTCTATCTGTTTTCTTTTTATTTATTATATAATTTTTAAAAAACCTTGCTACTTTTTATTTATTATATAATTAAAAAAAACCTTGCTACGTGTACTGCGTTAAGCTAACTGAGACTTGTTATAGCACTTGCATATCATTGCTCTCTTGTTGATTTTGATTGCTTCCATTGTCCTCATTTGTAAGTCGCTTTGGATAAAAGTTCTGCTAAATGACTAAATGTAAATGTAAATAAATAATAATATTACAAAAGAACATAATGTCTCAAAAAACAAACAAACAAACAAACATAGTACAAACTATATGTAAAGCAAAAAAAAAAGTAACTATTTTTAAGAATATTTAAATACATTATGTACCATAATTATTTATTAGTTTATTTTTAGGCATAGATTATTTTCGAAATCTGTCTAAAGTAAAACCGTTTCCATTGTTTTTGCACATTTTTATTATTTCCCTGGACAGCAACAATGGGGAGGATAATGGGTCATGTGTGCACTTACAAACCTTTGATGAGTGTTAGAATGACATCTCGATGGCCCATCTCACAGGCACGGAACAGAGGCGTGTGTTTCATTACATCCAGCGGGTCCACCATGGCTCCCTGCTCTAGCAACAACTGTGCAGTAGACACATGCCCTGAGAGCGCAGCCGCATTCAAAATATTAGAATATTTCCTAAGATCAATCAAAAATTTTTTTTTGCAAAACAGAAAAGTTCAAGTTCTTTAAAGTAGCCTATGTTCATTTATGCACTCAATACTTGGTCGGGGCTTCTTTAGCACAAATTCCAGCATCAGTGAGGTGTGGCATGGAAGCGATCAGCCTGTGCACTGCTGAAGCACTATTGAGCCTTCAGCTCGTCTGTAACGGTATCGATATTTATCGACGGTACACCTTCTTCGATAACGATATAATTTTTTTTTCGATATAGCGCACGATATAGGCATGTGCTATGAGTGATGCAGACAGCACACAAAAATACGAACACATGCTGAAATGAGTATTGTGCCTGCCTATGATGAGGAGATTGTGAATAAATAATGAATATTAGTTGAATTTAAAATAAACATTTGCATTTGAATGTTAGGAGTGCGTCAGGGAGCAT